AAGGGCAATGCACATCATCTCCCACAGATACAATTCCTTAGGGTTCCCTAACACTGCACCAGAACCCATCTAGAATCCTATAGAAAGGAATCAACACCGGCACCCTCAACGAAATCTTCAAAGGGCTCTTAAAAGAAGCCCTAAACCCTCTATAGCCTTCTAGATCCCTTCAAGGAGCCCTTCAAGGAAGCCCTAAGCCCTAAACCCTAAACCCCTTATCCTTAAGCCCCTAAACCCTGAACCCTAAACCCTAAACCCCTAACCCCTAAACCCTAAACCCTAAACCCCTAAACCCTTAAAGAAGCCCTTAAAGGAGGACCCCCAAGACCTAAACCCTTAAGGAAGCCCTTAAAGGAGGAACCCCTAAACCCCTAAACCCTTAAGGAAGCCCTTAAGGAAGCCCTGAAAGAAGCCCTTAAAGGAGGACCCCAAAGACCAGAAGCCCCCTAAGCCCCTAAGCCCTAAACCCTAAACCCTAAACCCTAAACCCCTAAACCCCCAAACCCTAAACCCTAAACCCTAAAGAGCCATTACACTTAAAAACAAAACCCTAAACCCTTAGAGAAGCCCTTAAAGGAGGACCCCCCAGACCGGAAGCCAGCCAGCCAGGGCGGGCATCAGGCGATCTGCTCCTTGGGCCAGAAGTGCCAGCTCCCAGTGCTGCAAGGAGAGGAAGGGTTTAGGGTTTAGGGTTTAGGGTTTAAGGTTTAGGGTTTAGGGTTTAGGGTTTAGGGGTTTAGGGTTTAGGGTTTAGGGCTTGGGCTCCTTTCCGGTTTTAGGGTTTAGGGTTTAGGGCTTCTGTTAAGGGCTTTTTTCCGGGTTTAGGGTCTAGGGCTTCAAGGGTTTAGGGCTTCCCCTTAAGGGCTCCTTTACGGGTTTAGGGTTTAGGGCTTCCCGTTAAGGGCTCCTTTAAGGGATCTATAAGGGTTTAGGGCTTCCGTTAAGGGCTCCTTCAGGGGCTTAGGGCTTCCTTTAAGGGCTCCTTTATAAGGATCTATAAGGGTTCCGTAGCAAGGGTTCAGGGTTGAGGGTTTAGGGTTGAAGGTTTAAGGGGTTAGGGGTTTGCAGTTCCTCTAAGGGTTACTTTTATGGGATCTATAGGGGTTCTTAGGGTTTAGGGATGAGGGATTAGGCTTCAATAAGGGTTGCGGGTTTTGGGTTTGGGGTTTTCAAGTGTGCTTTTTGCAGGGTTATATGGGGTCCTTATGGTGCTCTAGAAGGATGCATAAGGTTGTGTGGGGCTTCTATGACGGCTTGGGGTGGAGAGTTCAGTAGGGTTTAGGGTTTAGGGGTTTAGGGTTTAGGGTTTAGGGTTTAGTGTTCTAGGGCTTCGGCATGGGTTTTGGGGCTTGGCGTGTAGCAGTTCTTTGACGTTTGCATTGGGATTTTTTGGCTGTGGTTACAACTTGATCAGCCCTAAGCCCCTAAACCCCTAAACCCCTAACTCTAAACCCTAAACCCTAAACACTAAACTCTAAACCCTAAACCCTAAACCCTAAACTCTAAACCCTAAACCCTAAACCCTAAACCACAAACCACAAACCCTAAACTTTAAACCCTAA